TTGAATCAAATCATTCAGTATATGACTCCCTATTTTCTAGCTAAGTATTTTCAACACCGACTGGCAGCCAGGGCCTTCCCTGAAAATGCCTGGGATTGAACCCAGGAGCTTCTGCATGCAAAGGATGTACTTTACTACTGAGCTACAGTCATTCCCATAGAAATTAGCATTTTGCATCCAGGCCTGTCGTATTAGAGGGCACTTTTATAGTCATTGCATCAGCAGAGGAGTTCATAGAAGACATTTTTAAGTCTCGGGAAATCTGACAGGTTTGACTAGCTGCCATTTGCCAAAATGGACTTTCCTACCTGTTCCTTCCTGCTGTTGCTCTCTGACTTCTTGGAAGCCTGTTCACTTCTGTAGAACGGTGTTCAGTGTAGCATGGGCAATGCAGCTGTAGGGTTGGAGGAAAACCAGCAGAAACAGACATCCAGCCCCTTTGCATGAGTGTAAACACCTTCTGGTTGACTCTGCTGGATCCAAACCTGTATGAATTACATTTTTAAAATCTTTACAGGTTAAGACAAGATAATTACAATAAATGTATAATTACAAGAAAAGTTTTGTTAAGTAAGTGAAGTACCAAATATACTCAAGCCACATATTGTGAAGGTAGATCCATCTCAACTTAATATCAATCAATAACACAAGCACATTGCTTTCAAAAATCACTACATACGGTTTCGTACACAGTGTCACCAGTCAAGGCAGGGCCGGAAGTTCTGAGCTTGAAGTTAAGGATGGATCTGTCAATTTTTGTTTTTCTCAGTTACTCATTTTCCATTCTTGAGGCCAGTTCTTCACATTTCTGCAAGAATTAGCAGTTCAGTGTATTTTAAGTGCATGAAAATTAATCAGCATCTTATTGAAAATTTCTCTGAATATACACAGTTTTGCAAGTAATGCCTCTAATATAATGTCATTTTTTTTTTACTAATATATGCATTTTATACACACATTCCCCCAAATGCACCATTTTGTACACATTGTTTGGTTGAAGAACCGCATCTTAAAATTCAGAGAACTGCGAATTTCAAAGGATAGCTGCGATTCAGTTTGTGTATTCTTTCGGAAACTGCAAACCAGGAAGGTTGGCATTAAAATCCTCACCAAGCTGAATTTCTTCTACATCCTCACTGTGAGTTGGAACCCAGCGTACTGTATCCAGAGGACGTTTTGAGCAGTGCAAAAGCATTTTCTCCTGTGCAGACCTGCAATTGTTTTTCCTTTGCAGGAAGAGTTTTCTGTAGCTAGCCTTTCTCCCTCTCTTTTCTCTCTTTTTTGTAGAGATTGTAGCACACTCCATGCTACAATGGAATAGTTGCTGGTGCCAATTCTGTAACAAGTTCTCTTGGCTCACAAGCGCTTGCTCTTTGATAGACATGAAAGAGCAACCTGATCAGATTTTGGGCGCCTGCCCTGGAAATGTGGAATGGCTGCAAGGCACTCAAGTAGCATGATTAATTAAGCTTTATTTTAAATGACTCCTGTAGGGGTTGACTAAAGCAGGTGGCTTAATAGAAGAGGGTGTTTGAGAAAGAGTCCTTTTTATACATCTTAAAAATAGCTTCTGTGATGGATGCTAGAAAGAGCAGATCACAGCAAGGCTATAGCCGGTCTTTAACACTCCTTCTAAATGAATGGAGGTTGACATCACAGGACACTTGGCAAATGAGGACAAGGGGGGGAAACAGATCTCGATAATAGCTTTTGCTGTTCACCATCACAAGACACTGAGAAAAATATCTGAGGCTTTGGTGAGTGTGTTTTCTTCCAAGCTGGTTTCACCAGTAATAATTAGGTAGAATGAGATGGCGTCCAAGAAAATCTGCATCCCCAGTTCTGAAGGAGTAGCTGTGCTGTTGTCCAGCAAAACAAAAATGATGATACCAGTGGCATTTTGAAGATATTAAATATATTGTGGCAAAAGCTTTCGTGTGCATGAAGTAGTTGTGCAGGTATAAGCAGCTTCCTGCAGCCTTGAACCCTGCAAATGTTCTGGACCACAACACCCACCAGCTCCCCATATCGTGACCGATGGCCAGGGATGTTGGAAGATGTAGTACAAAACACCAGGCAACCCCAGGCTAGGGAAGGTTGAAGTAGGGGAAGAAAGGTTTATTTCTTGTTTCTCCTACAAAGTGAAACCAAGACCTGTGTTCTTAGGTGGGGAATACTTCAGTGCTGTATTTTAGTGCAGGACAGCTTATTAATAACCAGCACACACCTGCTACTTTCAGCTTCTGTTCGCATCCCTTCCAGGAACATAAAAGCATTACAGTTTTCTGTGGTCTTTCTTGTTTACATCCTCCTTTTACAGTCACCTGATTCTCGGAGAGGAATGGTCAACTGCCACCTTGGGGTTTTAGTTGTGCATTGTAATACATGTAAGGTGTAGCAGGAAGAAATATCTTTTCTTTCATGTTGTAAATTACAGCATAATATTGCCTTGCTTGAATGATTTTACACTGTTTCATTAGGGAGGATGAAGATAATGCAAATAACTAGGATGGATTCAGTTCTGCCTCCCCCTAGCTTTAGATTTGTTTTTGTGTGGTGTTTTTGTCATTTACTTTCATGTTGTGAGTTAGGAGTAACAAAAAAAACCTGAATAGGAATTTTTAAGCCTTGCCAGAGTGAAATCTTTTCCATGACGATACTATTAAGCTGTTCCTGCTCCTGTGATTTAAAAGTTGCAGTTAACAATGTTTTCTTTAATACTGTTCCAAGTTCTTTTTACCCAAGACCTTTAGTGTTGCTAAAAAAATTCTGCTGCTAGGTGCCTTACAAGTATCACAGACTAAAAATTTAACGAGTTCTTAACGTCTGGCATTTATTTATTCCCTAGTGGTTTTTGAAATCTGGCCCGTTTATACATTGGTATATTTTTGACTGTGAAATTACTGATCTAAGAGTGGTCAGAGTGAAGAATTGTTTGAGGACTAGGAAAAGATATTTGATAATTCTGTTATGATTTTATTTATTTTATAGCACTCACATTTTACCAGCTGATTGACATTAATATACTCTTTAAAGCAGGGATGGGAAATCTGTGGTCCTGTGGACTCCAGTTCCTAGTGAGCATGACCAATGGTAAGGGATAATGGGAAATGAAGTCCAGCAACATATTCAATTAAATTATAAATATTTCAATTATAATTTACAAAGCTATGTAAATTATAAATGAAACGTTGAGTATAAAATACTCAAACTTTGCCCTCCTACTTTGTACTAACATATTTCTCAATATTGCTCATATGTGGCCCTTAATAATACTGTAATAGATAATCTTAGTTATTTTAGCTGGTTAGTGTCTGACATTACTCATAGGTAATGTCAGTAAATTGTTTAAATATTAATTATTTGATTAATGATTTGTTAATATTATTTTTATTAAGGCTATTCTGTTTACATATTCTGTATAGCGGAAGAATGATTAATACAATAATGTTAATTTAAAGAATTAAAAAGGATGAAGGAAAGTATATAGTATATGGATAAATAAAAGCATATGTAAACTGAATATTCAGCCACTCATGATTGAGGGGAATTGTGTGGAACAGGTCTCGGTGTTTCGATTTCTGGGAATGGCGTTCAGAGATGACCTAACCTGGGGAGAAAACAGTAAAGACCTGATGAAGAGAGCACAGGAGAGGTTATATTTTCTGAGAATCCTCTGGAAAATAATCTCTCAAAGGACCTGTTGATGGCATTTTACCATTGTACTGTTGAGAATGTATTAACTTATGGTCTCTGTGTGTGGTTTGGGAGCTGCACGGTCAGGGAAAAAACAATGCTGTCCAAGGTTGTAAAGACTACAGAGAGAATAATTGGGTGTACTCTTCCCACCTTGGATCAAATCTATGCTTCCAGGTGCCATAAGAAAGCTGCAGAGATAGTGCAGGATAGTGCGCACCCTGGAAATGATCTCTTTCAGCTTCTGCCTTCTGGAAGAAGGTACAGGGTTATAAAGACTAGGACTAGCCACCTGAGAAAAAGTTTCTATCCAAATGTGATTTTGGTTGTAAACGCAGTGTAAGGTAGTCTCTATGAGAGTATATTTTGGGGTATCAGAGTTTTTAGGGGGCTAACCAGGCTGGGATAGCAGGCTTGTTGGTTTTTGAATGTCTGATGTAGATTTTTTCAATTTCGTTGTTCTGTATGGGACAATGACAATAAAGATTATCGTATCGTATTCCACTGCCCATCTCTGTGTTTGATCTTTCAAATAATAAACAACTAGGTTCCCTTTGTTTCACATTTTACTATGGGGAGGTCTGTGTCTTATGCAGTACAAATTAGACGCCACCCTATGAAGTCTATTTTAAATCTGTACACCCTAATGGCTGCTCTCTATAGGGAGGCACACATGCCCCCTCCATCACACAGAGAGTGATCATAGGGTCACATGGACTAGCCCCACCCACAGCCGTTGTTATGCACTTTGTCAGTGCTTCCCTGATTAATGTTGCCTGGAAGAGATATCCATGTGTGTTGCCTGGAAGAGATATCCATGTGAACAGATGTACATGTAGAGAACTATTACATATTAGGAGGAATTAGGAGGAATCCTAACATGACAGTGTGGGTGGGGCTAGACCATGCGGCCTCTTGGTGAAGAGGAGGTGCTGCTGGTCTTCTCCCACCCTTATTCCCAATGTAGATCTTTATTTCTGCCTTTTTCCTGATGTAGATCTTCACTCACCCCTTCTTCCCTGGTGGGGAGGCTGCTATTTTGTGGTTCACTTCAGGTGCCAAAATGTCTTGGGCCGGCCCTGGTGATAGTATGCTAAGATCCATGAACTGCTGACAATTCTTCTTCTCATTTTTTTACGTGGCCATATAATGTGAAATAGTGACCTGAAAATGATTGGGAGCAAATGCCTAGAATAGACATATTAGAAGAAAACATTGCTGTCAGAGCTGTGTTAATTTGAGAGTTGTTGTTGTTTTTGTAAAATTCTCTTTCTTTAAAGAAAAAAACTTTATTTTTTTTCCAGGTTTCCTGGAAGGCTCCTTTCATACTGAATGGAGAAATACTTAGTTATGAGATCCGCATGCCAGACCCTCGAATCACCCTTACCAGCAACTTATCATCTTCAATGAACCACGTAGTAACCAATCTGATCCCTTTCACAAACTATTCAGTCACCATAGTGGCTTGCTCTGGTGGCGGTGGCTACATTGGAGGATGCACAGAAAGTCTGGCTACATACGTGATGACTCATCCAACCCTCCCCCAGGGCATTAGTCCATTGTCTGTGACCCCAATCAGTGAATCATTCATTGCGGTTTCCTGGCAACCACCATCCAGGCCCAATGGGCCCCACATAAGGTAATGTAAATAGCAACATATGCAACTTAATGAAAATATGGGTCTCTACATATGCCCAGAAAAATTGTTTTTAAGCTGTGGTCTCAGGAACCCTAGGGTTCTTTGGAAGGTTTCCAGGGTTTCCTGAAGTAAAATGTTCCATAATGGCAGAGAAGACTGGTGGCCCACCACAGGACCAGGGAGATGTTGAGTATTTCTGTGGGATATTTTCTCATCATTTGAGGACTAGTAGGCTTCTCCAGGGCCCTGAAATGCTTCCCAATATAATCCATAAAGTGTCCTGTGGCAGACAAATCAGCGTGGAACAGATTGTAGTTCTAGATTTGTACACTATGAAAGCAGAATTCCCATTTGTGTGTTATCTGAGACCATCCTTTTTGTGATGTGTTTTCAGTCCTTACGATGGTTCCATATTTTTCTGGAAGTTCAGCCACCTTCACTTAGATCCCAAAGTCTTTTGTTTGGATTGATGTTGGCCAACATAACAATGGAGTGAGAAAGAGCTGATCAAAAATGCAGGTGCGGAAGAGTTTGCCAATGCACCACATGTCTGTAGAATCAAAGTTTCAATCTTTCTATACTGGCTGTCTTAGACCTCCCTGCTCCTATCTACAAAGCAGTTCTTCCAGTGTAACCCTGGAATGACCCTCTGGACTTCAGAAAAAAGGAAATTATGCATGTGTTATGAGATCTTATTCTCTTTCTTGCTTAATATGTAACTATGAGACATTCCAGCAGACTAATTGCATGCATTGCAGAATAATAAAATAGTCAGGTTTGGGAAGCAATCTACATTACTGTATATATTTACAGCATGATTCTCTCACCACTGGTAAGAGAAGCAACACAACATAACCTGCACCTGAAAACTTCATTTTCTTCATGGTGTGCCATGCTGCTTCCAACCAGAACAACCACTGAAGCAGTTGCGCAGCACAATGTGTTGGGGAGAGAAGAGGATAGGGCACCTGCCACCAGTGGAGGCGATTTGTACGCAGTCACTATCCAATGCTTTAAAAGATTGTGATATTTCTCATGGCTTCTACATCAAATTACAGAGAGACCAACCAGAACTAAATAATTCTGCGGGTTTTGGGAGGCGGGGAGGAGAGGATGGTTCTGCTGACATTGATAAACTAATAACATTGAAATGGTCCCTATGATGTGAAGACAGCAGCATATTTTGGTGATGTTAACTTTGGAATTCAGTTTCTCGGGTTGCTCTCTTGGGATAGAGGTGAAATTTATACAAAGAGAAAGAAACTTGCAATCCACAAATGAGCTGAAATTTGAATACTTGAGCTTGAGTCCCTTTACTATAGTTGATTTCAACCAAAACACTGGTCTGTTGACTGTAATAAACTGAGGGTGGCGGTGATGAACTGAATCACTATAACAAAGCTATATTAAGAGCACAATCCACAGCTTATTTATTTCATTGTCATTCCTAAATAGCCTAATCTAAATGTGCTCCAATGCAACAATTGTCTATTAGTATTTATTTCTGAATTTTATACAGTGCTGTGTATATGCAGTTTACTGTGGTTTTAAGTTCCTTCAGTTCCTTAATCTACATTGCCAGTGTTCACGTGTGCATTGATTAATTACAGCAAACAAATATTTGAATGTAATCATACATATAGCTGCATCGAGATTATCTGTGGGTGGAGTTTTAATACCAATGCATGTGTGTATCTGTGGGCCTTAATGAAACATCACAAAAAACAAACTGGATGTGTTGAGATTGTACATATTTTATTTATTTATTTATTAGTTAGTTACATTTCTTCCCTTCCCTTCCTCCATGAAGGGTGCCCAGAGCTATTAACAACCTAAAATTATATATATATATATATATATATATATATATATATAAATTTTATACACACACACACACACACACACACACACACACACAGTAATTAAAGTTACATTGATAAAACTAACAATACCTCTCCCCTTCTGAAGACCTGAGCAAATAAAGACATATTCAGATGCCTCCTAAACATGGTCTGGGGGGTCTACCCTGGGAGGGAATTTCAGAGCAGAGTGTATTCCCACTCTCCTTGGCATCTGCAGCAAACGGACTGGAATAAGGGCCTTGTAAACTGTAGGTTGCGGGATATGCAGAATGGCACTCCTTCAAGTACTTGAGTCCCAAATAATTTAGGGGTTTGCACACTAGTACTAACACTTTGAATTGTTCCTGGTATCTTAAAATGAGAGTGATGTGCTTCCTGTGACAACTCCTCTCAGCATTCTACATTATGTACTAGCTGCATCTTCTAGATCAGGCATGATCACTGGTAGACCACTGGATGCTGAAGAACTGTGGCTCCCCTTTAAAAAGCTCAACATTTTACCCCCTTCCTAAAAAAGCTGAACATCTTTGACCTGAACCCCCCCCCAAAAGGGAGTAGATCACTGCCAGTTTTTAACTCTGTGAGTAGATCGCAGTCTCTTGGGAGTTGGCCATCCCTGTTCTAGATCATCTTCAAGGGCAGCTCCATGTAGAATGCATTGTAGTAATTTATATGGAAAGTTATCAAAGCATGAATTATTGTGGCCAGATTATCTTGGTTCAGGAACAGTCATAGCTGAAGAACCTGCTGTTACTGGGCATAGGCATTATTTGCCACTGGAGCAACCAATGCTTCAGGTGAGAGTTTGGCATCAGTGACTACCCCAGACTTTGAACCTTCTCCTTCAGGACATGTCAGCTCTCTTGAGAACTATTCACTCACAGGACCCCCTATTTTATCCATCTCAGTTTATTGCCTTTAGACGTTGGCTGACCACTGTACAGCCTCTTTCAATTCTGGTGGGATGGAGAGGTAGAGATACAGTTGCGTCATTTTGTGTGATGTTTTCCAAAGATGCAAGTGTGCCTTAGTCAAACACTGCACAAGACAAATCTTGGTGCGATCATGTGTACAATCAAGCTTGCTTTTGTTGCGTTGTTTTATCATTGGCCCTTTATGCATTGGTAAAACCAAACTGTGCATGGTACAATCCTAGAATTTATTTTATAAATTTGCTTAAATTTAATCAGAAATCAGGAGGAACAAGTCAGACCTTCCATTCTCCCATTTACTCTTCCAGTCAGTCAGCATGCTGTATGTTTTTACAAGATACTCCATTCCTATAACCCCTGTTTTGCTATCTCACACCATACACAATGGTTATTGAACACACTCAGTCCTGATGATGGGCTCTTAGATTTCTGCCCCCACCAATATTTTCCTACAGGTCGGGGTATGAGCCTCTAGTCTGTGGGTGCTGTCTTTTTGGCTACTGACACTCACTGGTATTCACCTTGGAACATCAAAAATAAAGGTAGTGATGGTTACAATAGGACCAAGAGAATTCCTGAAACAAGTAAGGCACATCCCCAAAGGTCATTGGTTTCAAGCCTGTTTGTCACAAAGTTTTCGAAGCTGTTGTAATTAAACCAATTCTAGCCAGTTTAAATTTGCATCGTGGATATAGCTTCAACTGTGAATTCAGTTGTACAGATTCCATTGAGCTTTTCTTCCTTAACGTGAACTGTGCTGTACTAAATTTAAGTCAAGTTATCCTGAAAGGTTATGCAAATGTTTAATGTTATAAATCATTAAATACTCTCAGATTCTTTTTTTTTCCTAATAAAAGAAGTGTTGTGAAACATATCGTCATCCGTTTTGAAACTCATTAGGTAAGTTACAAAAAATGTCAAATCCTGAAACGTGTTTTTTTTAAAAAAAAACTTTACAGTTGGAAAAACAAAATAGTGTGTGACTTTTAAAAGCAACCTGATTTTTGTGTAATAACATTAGTTGAGATAATCCCAGCGTTCTGCTTGTCTTTTGTGTTAGATATGAGCTCCTGAGACGTAAAATCCAGCAGCCACTTGCATCAAATCCCCCTGAAGATTTAAATCTCTGGCACAATATTTACTCAGGAACTCAGTGGTTTTATGAAGATAAGGGTCTTAGCAGGTGAGATTACAAAAACTATAAAAACAAATGCTGGCATTTTGTATAGACTATGCTTAATAGTTCAAAGTGTTGCTCGTGTCTCTGTGTTGTGAACATGTTAATTATGTAATGAAATATTTTCTGTCATCTCCTTTGGCATTTGCCATTATTAACACACCTGGGTTTTTGCTGTTTTGTGACTCCTGCATGTTGCGTGCAATTTTTGTTCTGTTTTAAAGAGCATCAGGCTCTGGAAAACCAGATTTGAACTACCAGGGTAGCAGGCAAGCCATTTACACATGTTTAATTTTAAAGTCAAATCATACAAGCACCGGCTTACACATTGGCATGCAGGGCATCTGCGCAGCAGGGATCTGCACTGTAAATTAGTGATGTGTTTGCCTAGGAAACAAGGCTAGCCTAAGGCATTTGCTGCCTGAGGTGAAGGACAAGATGGTAGCCCCTTCCATTCTAAGTGGACTGGTAGCTCAGTCTTCAACACTGATGACAGGAGAGTGTTCTCCACCATACCTGAGGGCAGCTGGCTAGCTCAAGGGTTACAGGACAGGCTTTATGACACCAATAGCTGATATCCAGTAGAGGGGAACAGTTGAAGTGCTCAGAAGGAACAGCCCGGGGAGGGGGCTGCCATTAGGGATGGTGGATAATTCCAACAAAAAACGAAATGGAAGCGGAAATTTCCTATGTTTGTTTATTAGTCCTGTGTTCAGAACAGAAACCAGTCTGCTGAATATGATCAGTAGTATACACTGTTGTTCCTTTTACTCTGCAAATGATATTCCTTTGAGATGGAATAACTAACGACAATGTACGCAATTAATTGCATAAATTATGGGAGTGACCTAATTTTGCCATAACATTCAGCGAGAGGAGTAACATAGGATGGAATTCAACAATGTGCTAATATTATGCCAGTCAAGGCATAATCTCCAATAGGAGCCCAATGTCAGGGCTTACGAACCCTTATTATCCACCTCCATATAGCACCCCATCTTCTTTTGGCATTGTAAAGAAAAGATTCAGATAACTGTTTCTTTCCCTACATATGACCAAATGCTGCTGGGATTGAAGTGAATTGGAGGTGGAAACCCAGAAGGGAAGGAGAAATTAAAATGCCCTCTGTGCTAGTTTCCTGTTGGAGATTGTTCTCTTAGAGGCAAGTTTAGGTTGCAAGCAAAAAAAGGGAACATTAACATCACATATCATTTCAGCATCAGCAATGGTGGACAAGAATCTCTGAAAAACATCTAGATATAGAGAAGATTATCCATGGGCAGGACGTTTGAGAACAGTGTTGTAAGATAAATTTGCAGCCATTTTGTCGTTTTGTGTATCCAGAAGGAAATCTCACTGTAGGAAATACAGATGACTCTGGAGTAAGTTTGAGGAGGTTAATGAGCATAGGGAGGAAGGGGAGGATTAACTGATAGTCTGGGAATGGTGGGAGTACTGTAGACTGGCTGCTGCTACAGGGATGAAGTGAAGTTTGAAAGAATACGAGTCAAAGTACAACTTAGATTAAGTATGCTTTTTGTTAAAGGTGCAACTCTTCCCCCTCCCCCCCCCAAAAAGAAAAATGAATGCATCCACCTCTACACTTTCTTTCTCCAAAAATTGCAGATGGCTGGGGGTGGGGGCATTATCCTGATTAGGACTGTGACTTATTGGAGCAGGCTTTCGGTCACCCCCCACAATGTTTAAGCTCTGACACTTTACCTCTGGTTGTTGTTTGAAAGAGATTAAAGGGGAGAAAGGGTTTTCTCTGGTTATAACTTTTTTTAAAAAAATATAGTGTTTAGATGAGGCTATCCTTTCACACTCACACATTCATTCATTCATTCATTCATTCATTCATTCATTCATTGGCAGTTATAGCATACATTGCTCGAACTTACACAGCTGTATTATTTGAAACGTTGAGTTTTTATATTTGGCTGGGATCAGCTGATGAAGCATAAGGCAAATACTGTTAGGGTGGGATGCAGAGCTTCAGATCAGTGGGTTTTCCCAAAGAGGGGAAAACACCATTGAATCAACTTTATATCTAAGTGCTGGCAGCTTGCCATTGCTGTAATTGCATCTTGAATTGAGCTGTAATCCCTCACTACTTTGGAAAACAATAACAATCCTATATGGCATCTTACTTTGTTTATTGTTACTGTGCTAGTATTGGCCTGGTATTTCAAGCAAACCTCTAATTCTTTGTCTGTGGCTCTCAAACAGTATAAAGAAGCACCTTTTTAAAAGAAAAGAAAAAACAGCCTTCCTTTTTCATGGTTAGTAGAACAATAATACATGTTTAGCATGCCTCAACTCTTCAAAGGATATATATTTTTCTATTTCTTTTAATGGTATTAATCCTTTAGGTACACAACATATGAATATAAGACCATAGTGCACAATGAGGTTGGATACACATCAAGTGAAGAAGTGGTCGCTACAACATTGGCGGGTTTTCCAAAGAAGGGAAGTAATGTCACTGCACGACCTCTTAACCATACTGCTATAGAAGTGAAGTGGTCCACCCCAAGTAAGTGCCCTTGTTATTTTGACTACCAATCAGGCCTGGCTGTTTCCCACATGTATGTGGATTGCTTGATTTCTCTACACTTAAGGACAGACAGCAGAATATGTGAACTTTGAGGGAACGTTTTGCAATCAAAAGGATGTGAAAGTTTGATCTGTGGTGTCAGATCTGTGTTGTTATATTCACAAATGCAAGTTAATAGGCCAGGGTGGTTAACAGGACCAGGTCTGGCCTGCCAAGCTGTTTCTTATGACCCACCTTCCCCGCATTCAGTTTACTGGCAGTGAAGTCATTTGCAGCAATGGGATCTGTATCCCTCTGCCCCACCATTGTTTCCTAGAGGGAGTAAAGAGTGTTCCAATCAGGTCTGATTATTCTTGAGCCATCCTGGGAAACACTGGGAGAGACTGACCTGTTCCTTCCTATTCCAGAGTGCTCTGACTTGCTACAAAACTCATTCTGTGCCACAGTTAAGCAGCTGAGAGGTGCATCGTAGGTAACATTGAACTTCTCCTATTCCAATTTGCTGGAGGAGGGGCCTGGGATTCTACAACCTTCCCCCCCTCTCTGAACAGATTGATGGAGAGCTAAAAAAGACTCTCATTAACCCCCATCCCTCCTTCCCCACTACAGTGCTGTAGTGGGAATGAAATGATGGGGAGGTGAAGTGTGTGTGTGTGTGTGTGTGTGTGTTTACCAAGCAGGTTTGTGGTCTGTAGGTGTACCATATGTTTGGTGAAAGTGTAGTCTGTATGTGTGCGTCCCCTGCATGTGTGTGATGTGTGAGCAAGAGAGTGAATTTGGGTTGAGCAGTTCCTGCTTTGCTGCTCACACTCTCTTATGCTTTGTGCATGTCCACCCCTGGATGTGGCCCTTGAAAGGGTTGACCAATAACAAATGCAACCCTCAGGCCCAAAAAGGTTAGCCACCCCAGCATTAAGTGAAGTTGCACTCATCAAGCGTAGGTCATCCGTATATGAGCTAGCTCCAAGTCATCCATTTTCATGATTTACATTGCTCAGGTGAGCTGAACGATCATTGGCATCTTGTTTAAGAGCTAAATGCCTTCGAAATGATGGAAACAAAACCTGGGAAGAAACCAGCCCCCTTTTCAACCTTGAAATTCCATATATGTATAATCAATGTATAGAAGAGAGGCAAGATCATGCCTTCTGTGCCTGCCCCTGCTCTCCATGTATGTACAAATCTTTGGTTTGTACAATTTGTATGTTGTGGTCAATTATAATAAAATCAGAGCAAAATAAGACATAGATTCAGAGCTCTTGGGAGATTGGCACAATGACTTGCTGAAGCCTGTACTTTGGTTCAAACTCTTCTTCACATCCAGGAGAGTTATGGATTTTCTGTGCATGGAAAAGTACACATTTGTGCTGTGTCATCTTAAAAGGAACATATCCATTTAATCCAGATTACCTGTCCATCAAAGCAGTGGGTTAATTCTTCAATATGTACATGCAAATCTGTCTGTAAGCACTTGCTAGTGACTCTCAGCAAATATAGGCTCCTTATTTTATAATTGGATGCCTGAAGTAAGCATGCTTATAAAAACTGACAAACCTAATAGATCTGAAGCAGGCTGCTGAAGTTTCATTACTTTAGTAATCTGAACCTCTGACCTTCCAGATAGAGGTAATGCAATCTGGCTTCATTTTCATTCTTACTGCAGAAATTTCCTAGATATCTATTTATGAATGCAAAGGTTAAACATCAAGTGAGGGTCATTAGAGCAAACCCTCATTTATTCTTTCATTGCTGGAATGCATTACACTAGGCAAACTAGCAATCTACCTTCTTCCAAATGTTTTCATTTTGTCACAGGCCTTTGCCTTTCCCTCCAATAACTAGATCACTTGAAAATAGCTTTCTTTTATGTCTTTGTTTCTGGTGGGATCTTGAGTGAAAAACAGAAGTTGGTGGTACATAGCTCCTGTTAAAATTACACTATAGAAATAAAAGAAGTTGGAAACAAAAGCTCTGTTTAGATGGTATATCAGTGCACGGTCTCTCCATGCATTCGCTGAAATTCTGAACAAATCTACGCGGGTACAACTTTTCCTCTCCCCATACAAGCAGGGAGCCTGCATTTTTCAGTGATCTAATTTCATGCAAAGAGCCTACATATGTATACATTGCAGATACTTACCGGTTCTGTTCACACATTTGGTGGATGGGAAGATGGCCACCACTTCTCCTGTCTATGCACTGATATCCCCAAATGTGATTGAAATCCAAATAGGATTAGAGTCAGTCCTTTATGGTGTCATAATTAAAAGTTTGACTTTGGAGCAGCTAAATTTGGTACCTCTTGGATTGAGTGGTTTGAGTAATGAGACCTTTATTTGTATTACAAACATTTGTCCCTGACTGATTTTTCATTTGAAAAAGCACGTTTGCATACATGTTTGCTTTTTCCTTTAGGAAGAAGGGTGAGATATAGATTTAATCATCATCATCATCATCTCCTCAGTAGCAATGATGCTATCCTTTTCCTCAGATGCTTAGGTTGTGCTTGAAGTTAAGGATTTAGGGCACACTAAGATAAGCACTCCTAAATTCCATTGTTTTCAGTACAATAATCACACGTTAACTAGAACAGAAAGTGTCCAAAATGTTATTTTATAGCAGGGGTCAGCAAACTTTTTCAGCATGGGGCCAGTCCACTGTCCCTCAGACCTTGTGGGGGGGCCAGGCTATATTGGGGGGGGGAATGAACAAATTCATATGCCCCACAAATAACTCAGATATGCATTTTAAATAAAAGCACACATTCTACTAATGTAAAAACACCAGGCAGGCCCCACAAATACCCCAGAGATGCATTTTAAATAAAAGGACACATTCTACTCATGTAAAAACACGCTGGTTCCCGTGTTTTGCAGGCTGGATTTAGAAGGAGATTGGGCCGGATCCGGCCCCCGGGCCTTAGTTTGCCTACCCATGTTTTATGGCATGATTTGTCCTTTAAGTATAGTCAACCCTGTAGGTTTCAATGCCATAATGCAAAGAATGTAATTCTCAACAATACTGGATGTGTAATGTTTGAGGATGCATCTTACAATTCAATGATGCATGTGGGAACATGGTGTATGGCCCCAGACTACATTTGTTTGCTTGTTTGTTTGATACTTGTACCACACTTTATAGCCTCCAGAAGGCCCTCAACGTGACTCACAAAAGAATACAATCACATTCAAATGTGGTATCAGAAAAAATAATAATAACTTGGTAGCCATATGATGCCAGGTTTATTCAGACAGCATTCTGCCCTCATACTAGTGTTGCCAAGCAGCAGCTTCCACTGAGGACCTCCTGGGGTGAGGGAGTGGGGGCCAAACAGCCAAATCTTGCTCAGTCCATGATAGAGGCAGTTCTTCATGCTGAAGGCTATGAATGGAATTTCTGCTTCCATGATGCTTATTTCTCTCTATGATTGGCAACAGCTGAAGAGTCCTTTAGGGTGTGGTTTTTTATGAATCGATAATTTGGAACTTTGCCTGGATGTAATTAGTGAAATAGACAGGCCTGTGCATTCCCTGCTGACCTGGAATCAGTATGTGCAAGGAGTGGTGGATGAATGTCCCCAAAGCATGGTCTTCCCACCCAGCATTCAAGGCAGTTCCCAAGAGGGGCTTAGGAATCCAAATTACATATACATCATGGAATAGTTGGTTTACTCCCCATGCTTCTAATATATTTGGCACTGACAAGATTAACTATACCTTGGTGCCTAGTCGCTAGGCTCAAAGTCCACAGTTTCATGAGCACAAGCCTTTGCAGCAAGTCTATTGCATATATAACCAGTGTTACCGGTAAACTCAATACTGTACCAGAACGTGCAAGAATATTATTACTTGTCCTTTCATTTCCAGTTTCTTTTTTTCCAATATTATTGGGATTATTTTTTAAAAAATTAATTAATTCTACAGCCTTGCAAGATGTTCAAGGAAATATTGAATATTATGTCCTCTCCTGGAACACCTCTGGCCATGACAACACCAGGAAGATCCCCCCCAGTGAAAACCTAGCTGTCATTGGAGAACTACAACCTAACACAGAGTATTGGATTTCGCTTCAAGTCTTCAATGGGGTGCACAGCATCACAAGTGAGGTGGTGCATGTGAGTACATCAGACGGAGGTAGGTTTAGTACTGGATGCAGCCTGGCTTAAAATCTGAGAATGAAATTGATTGATTTTTGTTAGGGTTGAGATCAGTCATCCTTCCATTATGAAATTTCCGGTATAAGAGGGAAAAGGACTAAAACGCTAAAATGCTTAAGTGCTGGTTGTCATCAAGTGGCCGATCAATAAAAGGTCCCACTGAGACAGCAGCACAAAGCTCTAATAGCGGATATTAACCCACTTTGTTCTCATCCTGCCCTGTTCACTACTATCCGTGTGCTCAGTTTGGAGCTGAGTTCATGTCAATAAACGGAGAGATTTAAAAAACAATTAATGGTTTTTAAAAAGATTTGCTCTGCCAAGCAGTGTGCTTTTGACATGACAGTCAACTCTCAGGCCATTCCTGAGTCACCAAAAATGGAAGGTGTAAACCCCACTCTCTGGGAGAATTTCCCTATGAGTCATTTCCAAGTCAGTTAGCAAGCGGGAGGGAGGGAGGGAAGAAAGCAACTTGTGAATCTGAAATGTGTTTGGAATGGCCTTTCTAATCTTTTTGGCTTTATAAAGTCTCATTATAAACATTATAATATCATTACCTCAGAAGCAAGTGTTCCAGGTCATTAGCAAAGCACTTTAAGTGGGGATTGCATTTCCTTTGCAATGCCAAAGGTCAGCCCCCTTTTGTTTATAAAATAGAACTCCTTGCAAGTGCAATTTTTCAACTGGTTAAGATGGACCTACGAGATGAAAATAGGTCTTTTTGCATAGCTATTTCTGACATGCTTAAATAATTTGTGTAATTTAACACTAAGGAAGATTTTGAAGAGGAGGAGTGAGGCTTCATCATTATCCTTGGTAATCAGCATTCAAAACCATTTACATAATAACAGTATTGCACGTTGCTTCTCATTGCCCAAGTTACAAGGCTGCTAAAAGCTATTGATATGTCACTTTTCACCACAGAGTGCATTTAAAGTTGCTGCTTTAGGAACGAGATTGCTGTTTGGGCATGTGTGAAGAATGAAGCCAAACCAAATAATTGTGGATGGGGCCACACAGATAAGAGAATAATTTATCATTGTATCCCACTGGTCGCATTCTGCTAAAGATGAAGGCGATGCTGGTGGTATAAAGCGCTTTACCACCATCTCCCACTGTTTCTAACTGAGATTATAATAAGCCAATTTAGAGAGGAATACAGACAGTGATAACTTCATCAGAGGCAAGCAGATAAGCAGCAGACCCTCTGCTAAACCCAAATTCTAATCTGCATTTGGTTAAACACATGATTTTACAGAGACAGCTGGAGTTTATTCAGCTTCTTCCTTTATTTCTAGAGCCGGAGGGCATGTTCCCTCCAGAGGTTGCCATCATCAACAGTACAGCTGTACGTGTCATCTGGACATCGCCTTCAAACCCAAATGGTGTTGTCACAGAGTATTCTGTCTATGTAAATAATAAGCGATACAAGACTGGAATGAAGGCACCCGGGTCTCTGCTTTTAGGAGATTTGTCTCCATTCACTGTTTATGATATACAGGTTTGGAACAACTTTTTTTTTTATCTATACGTATGCTGTAGCTGATTTTACATAATTGGGGTGGGAGATTGTTCTGCTTTTCATTGGTATTTCGATGAACAATTCTGAATATATATAAAAACATGCAAATCTAATAACCACATAAGCATTTATTGTAGTATGTGTATATATATATTTATCTGATGGGAGTTCTATATAGACACACATATAAATGGTTTCATATTTTTAAATCAATGGGCTCACAAGGATTTTTTTTCTGAGCATACATTTTATTTTTGCATCTGTGTAACATATTTGTATTTTCCTCTATCTCAAGAACATCAAAACTACATCTCCTCTGATCCCATAATACTAAACTTACAATATATATTATAAAGAGGCAACAATCCTACTCCTACTCATTAAAACAAAATTGTAATTGTTTTAGAAACATCAGGCATGCATAATACAGCAACCTAGAGAAATAATGATATTGCATTCGTTAGCCTTTTATCATCCTTCCCCTCCTCCCTTCTCTTTGTGGAACAGGCTGATCTCAGCCATGAAATCCTAGTCTTCTAAAAATATCATTAATTTTTAAAACCTTTCTTTTCCTTCTTTTTCCTCCTCTTGTCTCCTTATCCTTGGGTTACCCCAAAATCTATATTGTAATTTTCAGGTTTTTTGAATTAGGTTCAAGACAAGAGCTTACAACTATTTCCCCTGTAATTGAATTGCATTTATTTCTTGAACAGTTTGTTTTGCTTTAATTGCAACTTTCCCGTTTTGTTTGTCGCATTCAGACTTGGCTTAGTCTGAATTATGTATGGGCAGGTCGTAACAGTAATCATGTATACTTTGTCCTAAAATTTGCATCCCGTTGCAGCGTGCCATAAATAAACGTCACCCAGAGGCACACCATAACAGATTTCTATGTTCCAACCCCTCTGCAAAAGCAGGCCCCCACCTCCATTAATACACATATGACTTTCCAGTTTCTGCATGGACACACATTTGTCTTTCTTCAACAGTAACACAAATTCCAAGCACTTTCACACTTCGGGGACCTTCATATTAATTTACCAAAGGCAATATTAATCAGTTGCTCTTCGTTATCCTATCTGAGTATTAGTGCCAGCACTTGTGGCAATGACTTATAAGAGAAAATCCAAAGTTGTAATTGCGGATATTTTTTTAAAAAAACCTTTTTGCCTTTCATACTCTGTCCCTACGCAAATACTTAGCTTCCTAAAAAATATCTACATTTGTGCCTGCCTTGTCCTTTGTCATCATGTGTTGACATCTGTCGATTGGTACTTTTCATGTATTGAGTTGCCAATGCAAAGGTGACATTATTAGTCTTTCTTTGGAGCTATTTAAAGTACTCTTAAGAACTGAGGGAGTCATATTTTGTCTCTCATCTTCAGGGTTCATCAAACATTAATACATTGCTGTGAAAGCAAACCATTCCTATTTTAAAAATAAAAAGCTGGTAGATTCAGAAAGCAGATATGGTAAGGATCAGAGGGGATCCCACAACAACAGCAATATACTTCTACCCCACCTTTCCGACTGGGTTGCTCCAGCCACTCTGGGTGGCTTGCAACATAATATAAAAACATCCTGATAAAGGGCTGCCTTCAGAAGTCTCCAGAAAGTTATGTAATTGATTATCTCTTTGGAGTCTGATGGGAGGGCATTCTACAGGGTGGGCACCACTACTGAGAAGGTCCTCTACCTGGTTCCCTGTAACCTCACTTCTCGCAGGGAGGGGACTGCCAGAAGGCCCTGGGAACTGGACCTCAGTGTCTGGGCTGAATGAGGGGGTTGGAGATGCTTCTTCAGGTATATAAAATACTCACTGACAGGCCAGAGTGTTGGGCTTCAGATGTTTATCTTAAGGCTCAGGCAGGTTCACATGGGTTCAGATGGTTCTTCAGATAGCCTGGCCCCAAACTATTTAGGGATTGTAGATAAACACCAGCCTCTAAAATTGAGCCTGTAAACAAATAGGCAGTTACTGGGCCATGTGACACTAAGCCCAACCATGGCTAAGCATGAATGAAAGAGCATGCAAATGTATCGAGTGAAAATCACAGCTGCTGCACTCCTCCCTCAGTCCTGCTGCTGCTGTCACACTACATGGAACTAAACCATGGTTTACCTTAGCAATATAGCTGAACCCAGGCTTATAGTTTGTCTTGCTACAAACATACCACAGGTAGTAAACCTAGAACAAACCTTTGCTCCCTTGTTCTTAGCCAGGATTTGACTAAGTGTGCATGAGAACCAGATCAGTGTAACAGGTGCAGAGTTGTGCCATGTGCTCTGAATGACTAACTCTTGTCTGTGTCATCGCTTGTCTAATTACCTCAAGGTGACAAACTTAGGTTTCTTAGGTGGTCCGCCATATGAATACTAAGCAATCCCAGACCGAGTTAGCTTGAGTGATGCCCTTGACCACAAATGTTCAGTAAGAGTTCTGTGGCCATTGTAAGAGTCCGTAGCCCCTGCACATGCCCTGTTTCAAACCCAAATATGCTTTGGAAGGTAGAAGGAACCTTCAGAACAACAGTGTGGGGAGGGACGATCCCTTTGAGGAGGTGGAAGCTGTTCTCTTAGGAGTGCATTGAATGCAAACACCTAGAGTCGCTAAGGCAAGTTTATAAGTAATGGTATTTACCTGCAGTCCTCATTCAAAATGGAAGAGCCATAACTCAGTGATAGAGCACACCTTTGCTTGCAGAAGGGACACTGGTGGAGCTGTGGGTTAAACCACAGAGCCTAGGACTTGCCGATCAGAAGGTTGGTGGTTCAAATCCCCGCGACGGGGTGAGCTCCCGTTGCTCGGTCCCTGCTCCTGCCAACCTAGCAGTTTGAAAGTACGTCAAAGTGCAAGTAGATAAATAGGTACCGCTGCGGCGGAAAGGTAAACGGCATTTCCGTGTGCTGCTCTGGTTCGCCAGAAGCGGTTTAGTCATGCTGGCCACATGACCCGGAAGCTGTACGCCAGCTCCCTCGGCCAGTAAAGCGAGATGAGCGCCGCAAGCCGAGTCGGTCATGACTGGATCTAATGGTCAATTCCCAGCATCTCCAGATAGGGCTGAGAATGTTCTCTGTTTAACCATGCTAGCCAAGGTGGACAATTTTGAGCTAGATCAGCAGTTCTCAACCTGCGGGTCTCCAGCTGTTTTGGGACTACAACTCCCATCATCCCTGAACTCTGGCCTTGCTAGCTAGGGGTGATGGGAGTTGTAGTTCAACTACATCTGGGGACCCACAGGTTGAGAAAGGCTCAGCTAGATGGATCAGTGGTGCCAAGTAGTGCTTAGCATGAGCGGAATAACTTTCACTTTCCCAGTGTGACTTCCCCCTCTGGAGCAGATTTGGGAAAGGTGCATGTGGGGGGAAGTACCCTTGCCCTAGCCCCAGTCCTTACGCAAGCGCAAAAATATGGTAGGATCCTTCCCAAAAAGATCCTAAGTCCCCACCATCACATTGAACTCAGTTTTACTTGATTTGCAGTCATGCTCTAACTTCAGTTACTGAATAGTTAAAACTATAGTTTTCTTTCTTGCTAACTATTCTAGGTTGAAGTCTGTACAGTGTACGCTTGTGTGAGAAGTAACGAAACACAAATTACAACGGTGGAAGATGAGCCAAAAGAGCTATCGGCACCACGGATTCACGTCCTCGGTCCACGGTATTTAAGTGTCTTTGTCTTAAAACCAAAAGAACCTGTGGAGATAAAAGAAACAGAAAATGATTTTGTGCTTTTCAGCCTGTAAAACGATTGTTGTTTGCTCGTAGTGTCAAAGATAAGAAGAAATAGTGCAATTAACTTATGAAGATGCCTTCTACACTGGTCTATCTATGCTAGCATTTCCTAACTGTCTGGAAGTCTCTCTTTGTGGATCTCTGGATCAAGTGAGGCTTAGTATAGAAGTTTCCATTGACATTAATGGCCACTTTTATTTATTTTTTACTAAGCTGCATAGCCACGTTGGGTGGCGGGGGACGGGGACGGGACAGTGAAGATAATGGCAATATTTTGGTGAGGGTTACAGCTAGGGAGCCACACACACTAGGATCCCAGCAACAAGCACAACCATGCCCCATGCCTGTAATTAATTTAAGAAAAACAAGCTATGTGCTTTACATGCAGCGTGTACATGTAAAGAACACTCTATCAACAAGTAAGAGTTATTTCCCAGCTCTGTAACCTGAGATCTTTCATTCAGAAGAGATTGAACCTGTAGCTCCCTCCGTGTATATTTATGGTCCAGTGCGTAGATCAGGCTCGCTGCTGAAGTCCTTCCTCTTCCTGTGTATGGAGGATGAACGGGGTGGGCAACAGGGATGTGATGGAGGGGCAGTGCATTTCCACACCCTCCCATCATTGAATGGGAGGCTACAATGCCTGAACAAAGATCTCAGTATATTTGATCTTGTATTCTCTTTTCCATCTATTTCTTATGGAGAATTCCCTCCCCATCCCACAAAAAGGAAATGGTTGCCAGACTTGGAAAAACAGCTGAATACTGACAAATGCCGTCATTCTTTTCCTAAAAAGATCCAGGAGTGCCAGCGTGGCCAGAAGAGAGGTTGTAACTAATGGCTGCCCATTGCCAAGACATTTATCAAAATTACGGCAACAATAAAGTAGTTAGCCTCCTGCGTGCTTGTTATTGTTGATGTGGTTTTATTACACTTCTGGCAGAGATTGGTGCTTAGCTTGTTTCTTGTGAGTGGGAGAAGCGTCTCTTTTGAATAACTACAATCTGACACCTAAATCTTCAGAAATATGCTAACAAAACGGATCTACACATGCCGTATTTCAAAGAAACGTCTGTTTTCTCTTTGTATATTTTCTCTGAATTCTGTTATTTGTCTGTGCAAAGTGTAACTGCTAGGTGAAATTAAGCTTGCTATTTTTCTGTCACATAAACATGTCTAGTCAAAGCTTGTTTGATGATAAGAACTCAATTCTGGAAATCATCCCTCTCCCCACCCCTGACTTTCACTCATGTATGCTTTTGTCTGAAGTATGGAAAACACTTATGCATGTCTCTGTTATTATATACAAACTAAAAATGTCATAACATACAAATGCAAGAAGATCAGAAATACCTTGCAGATTTTATAATCTGCTGAGCCAGAAACAGACTTTCCCTTACATGTCATATTATCATCAGCTGTTCCCATATCCCAAAAGAATACTAACTACTGATCGATTGCCCGGACATGTCTGGCTGTGGCCTACACGTGCCCCGGGTAGTTCATTTATTTGCCACGGTGGATTTGCTAGAGTGGAATTTAATCAATAGCTAATTCATTAATTCTGGTCCTTGAGTATGTAGGGACCATGCAGTATAAAAATGGCTGGCTGGCTTCAACTTTGATTGAAATATGACAAACACTACAGCTGGCAGTTTCAGTAGGTGCCGGCCTGCATATGAATTTTTCTTATTTATCCTCCATCAAGGAATAGGTTCAAGGGGAAAATAACAGATTGTATAAACAAGGAGACATTTTAATACATATCTGCCAATGGGGAAAAGGTATGATTTCTAGGAGAGAGCCACATGGGAGGAGGGCAATGCAACTCACATTCTGCAACATGATTTTATTAGAATTATTATAGCTCTTCCTCTTTTGTTGCATGTGTGTATTTTTGAGGATTGGGGAGCAAGTGGGCTTTTAAGAACTTTTAAGAACTATTTTAAGGCTATACCATTATTGTTTTTACATACAGTTGGTTTAAATGTGTTCTCACAATGCATTAGGCCATGGCAATCTCACCAAGTTGTGACCCATCAAGCAGTCAAATGCAACCCGTGACATGTATCCAATTTTAACTATTCCTATCAGGCAGCAAGCAAGAACAGGAATTTTCTCGAGACCCTCATACACTGTCAGACATAACCTGTGGACTATGTTTAATTTGCTGGGATATAAATTGTGCAAGTTCTGCAGAAACTGTTATTAACTACCCAACTTGTTCAGTGTCTTTGGGATGATAGCCACTTATTGTAATGGAAAGCTAATCTCTTCTAGCAGCTTAGCCAATGTTTTGTGGTAATGAAAGATGTCCAGCGGGCATCGCTTGTATCAGAAGGACCTTTTGTGCAGTTCTGGCTCAGTCTTGATTCAGTTGGTGAGTCAAAGGCCCAATTCAAACAATCTTGTATGAACCTGTCGTTCGCCCATGGAGTCCCATCAGTAGCAATTAAACAAAGAAGCCAGATAACATTTCCAGGCAAAGTGGAGACTTTAAAAGTGAGGTGGGGACTTCAAAAGTGAGGACTCAGAATGGAGATGATCTGGTGGTTTCTGGAAGCATAAAAGTGCAAGCACGAAATTCACAAACCATTGGAGATAAAAATTAACTGCTACTTTTTTTTGCATAAGATTCTACTTTTATTTTTGTCTGTTCATATATCACACCATAATAAGAGTCTGCTGGATCAGGCCAGTGGCTCATCTAGTCCAGCATCCTGTTCTCACAGTGGCCACCCAGATGCCTATGGGAAACCTGCAAGCAGGACCCAGGCACAAAGCACTCCTGTGGTTTCCAGCAACTGATATTCAGAAGCATGACTGCATCCAACAATGGAGGCAGAGCATGACTATCTTGAGTGGTAGCCATGGGTAGCCTTTTCCTCCATGAATTTGTCCAGTCCTCTTTTAAAGCCATCCAAGTTGGTGGCCTGGGGACGCGGGTGGCGCTGTGGGTAAAAGCCTCAGTGCCTAGGGCTTGCCGATTGAAAGGTCGGCGGTTCGAATCCCCGCGGTGGGGTGCCCTCCCGTTGTTCAGTCCCAGCGCCTGCCAACCTAGCAGTTCGAAAGCACCCCCATGTGCAAGTAGATAAATAGGGACCGCTTACTAGCGGGAAGGTAAACGGCGTTTCCGTGTGCGGCTCTGGCTCGCCAGAGCAGCGATGTCATGCTGGCCACGTGACCCGGAAGTGTCTCCGGACAGCGCTGGCCCCCAGCCTCTTGAGTGAGATGGGCGCACAACCCTAGAGTCTGGCAAGACTGGCCCGTACGGGCAGGGGTACCTTTACCTTTACTAAGTTGGTGGCCATCACTGCCTCCTGGGGGAGCACATTCCATAGTTTAAATATGTGCTGTGCGAATAAGCACTTCCTTTTATCCATCCTGATAAATTTCATCTTGTAAAAAAAGATTAAGAACAAAAACAAGGAGCACCGTGTCAAAAGCAGTCTATGCTTAAATACTGTTTACTACATATTTGCTTAGCTCCGAAATAATATACACTAAGATGTATATCCAGCCTTCAAACAATTTTAAGGGTCTTTCTTTCTTTCTTTCTTTCTTTCCTCTATATGTTTGTCAGTAATGTCATTTGTATGTAAGGATATATATTTTTTGCCTTGAGTAGAATATGCAGTGAATGTAAAATAGATTTTCACAGACTATGGCATTAATTCAGCAAGTCAGATGGAGATTTCAGAATAATAATGGTGACTCTACAAGTAACCTGTGAAGTTATCCCTTCACAGGTGACATTAATCCTTCCTCTACATATTGTTATTGTTATACATTCCTCTGTTTATACCTCAAGGTGGTGGAATAATAGTTCACTGTGTTATTTTTATTCTGTAAAAATGTCAAAGTTTATCTCAGCTGCTGCTATCTGAATGTAACCATCTCACTTTAAATGAATGCTAATTTACAATGTCACCAAGTATTCTGACAGTAGTCATGTAATTGGGCTTTAACATTCTTTAAAATGTATGTTGGGAATAACATATGATAAGTGCGTGATCCTACTAGAGTGAAGCACTAGTACCTGTAAGTCCATCTTTCTAATAGGAAATATTTAAGCATGTGCCTAAGTCTTAATTGAACTTATAGAACTCAAAAGAACCTGTCTTTGCCTGGTTTGTGTCCATATTTTATAATGCTACAGTCTGGTTTTGTGGACACTTATAGCAGACAGCATTTAGCTCCGCCTGTTAGTTGAGTGAATATGGCAACAAAGATGATCAGGTCTGCAGAACCTACAGGAAGTGTCACAGTGCAGTGGTTTGCCTGCAGAAGTTGCAACTTCAGTGCCCAGCACCCCAGCTCCTGCCAAGCTCACAGTTCGAAAGCATACCAGTGTGAGTAGATAGGTACCATTGCAGAGGAAAGGTAAACAGTGTTTCCATGCGCTCTGGCTTCAGTCACAGTGTCTCGTTGCGCCAGAAGCGGTTTAGTCATGCTGGCCATATGACCTGGAAAGCCATCTGTGGACAAACGCTAGCTCCCTCACCCTGAAAGCGGAGATGAGTGCCGCACCCCATAGTTGAATTCGACTGGACTTAACCACCCAGGGGTCCTTTACCTTTACCTGTTCTTGTTGAAATCCTCAACAGTGTCAACCAAGTGTCAGTACTTCCCAAAAGTAGATTGCCCTGCTCTGGTACTCCTGAGAATCAGAAATTTATAAGAAGTTCAAATTTTGCTTTTGACTATCCAACATATGCTTTGTAGCAATTTGATGTATTAATATAACATTCTATGGTACCAAAAGAAAGGTTTGTTTTTTAAGACATTGAAAACACTTGAGAATAATGGTTACACTGAAACAGTGCTCTGTCTGTTTGAGGTATTTCTATTTATATACCACTTTTCAGGTGGATCTCTCAAATCGGTTAGCAAAATACCACTCCAAAAATGATTTACCTTAGCCAGAACTTTGCAACTCATAGCTCTGTTGCAGCAATGTTAAAAGGACACCTGTATGGATTTCAGTTTCAGCAACAGCTAAATGGAAACTCACATATCTTATGAGTTGTCTTACACATTAATGATTTTTGTTGCTCTAGGTCACTTCAGATTAACTGGGCATCACCAGGACAACCAAATGGCATCATCCTAGGATATGATCTGTTACGCAAAGCTCAGCGACGGTGCACCGTGCCACAGCAGCTATCAAAACATCAGGGTGGAATGGCATGTCTGTCCTTGCAATGTGATATCCATGAAAATATCTGTGGAGGCCTGTGCTATAACCCACAGTTTAAGGTAACATCAATTAACCTGCTGGTGAACCTGCTTTTATATTAAGATCTACTGAGTGAGTTCCACCTTCAGAGCTGAGGAGACTCATTATTGAATACAGGGGCTTTTCAGTTGTTCCACCGCACTCTGTAACTCACTCACCAGCAAAAGTTGAGTATATAAGCTAAAGAGAAAATTATGAGGTTGAAAGTCCATGGCCATGATGGCTTATATATTACAGGAACCAACCCAGGGGTACTGTGTGCATCCCTATCCCCAATTGCACACTCTGTCCTTGAGGGCTGAGCTATTCAACAGAACTTAGGGGCTCTCCAGACTGGTGTCTTATTGTGTGTGTATTCTGCAACATATTCTTGACACAATAATAGTGCATTAGTAATGGAGGGGTAGCCAATGCCGCAAGAAGCACAGTCAGATTTCAAAACAACCTTAAGAGATTGGAGAACTGGGCCCAAGCTAACAAAATGAATTTCAATAGGGACAAATGTCAGGTTCTACACTTAGGCAGGAAGAACCAGCTGCACAAATATAAGATGGGGGACACCTGGCTTGACAGTATTGCATATGAAAAGGATCTAGGGGTCTTATTAGACTACAGGCTTAATATGAGTCAGCAGTGTGACGCAGCAACAGCAGTATAAAAACAACTAATGCTGTTCTAGGCTTCATCAACAGAAGTATCATGTCTAGATCAAGAGAAGTACTAGTACCACTCTTTGGTCTTGCTCAGACCATATCTGGAATACCGTGTCCAATTCTGGGTGCACAATTTAAGAAGGATATTGAGAAGCTGGAACGTATGCAGAGGAGGGCAACCAAGATGAACAAGGGTCTGGAAACCAAGCCTTATTAGGAATGATTGAGAGAGTTGAGTATCTTTAGCTTAGAAAAGGGGAGACCGAAAGGAGATGTGATAGCCATCTTCAAATATCTAAAGGGCTGTCACATGGAAGATGGAGCAAGCTTGTTTTCTCCTCTGGAGGTAGAACACAAATGAATGGCTTTGAGATACAAGAAAGGAGATTCCGACTAAACATCAGGAAGAACGATGGTAAGAGCTGTTTGACAGTGGAACAGACTCCCTTGGGAGGTTGTAGACTCTCCTTCCTTGGAGGTTTTTAAGCAGGATGGCTATCTGTCATGGATGCTATAGTTGAGATTAATTGCATTGCAGGAGGTTGGACTAGATGATCCTTGGGGTCCCTTCCAACTATGAGATTTTATTATTTATTCTACTTTAGTTGGTTCTGGGATGCTTCCCTGATGCTGCCACATTACTTCTGTCTGGAGGGGCTATAGCACAACAAAAAAGTGGGGAAAAGATAAACAAGAACATTTGTGGTATAAAAAGTTATGAGATTTCAACAGGAGGTTATGGGATAAGTCACTGACTGAAAATGAAACGGGGCCGCCCCAAAACCTTTGCAGTCACAAACATCACAAGCACAAATCATCATGAATGTGCAAAAAGGAGGACATCTGGAGGAGCCCATGATGTCCTGTTTACACACATATCCATAGCATTGATTTGCATGCTGCAGCTATGTGATTGTGATGCTTGCGTTACAGTGGAATTAAATTGTGCTGCTGTATTATGGGTTGCATGATGCCAGCATATGCCATCACAACTGATAACCTTGCAGTACTGAAGCTTGAGCCAATGTTTCTATATGCTTCAATTACAGTGAATCCATAGTAACTGACTGCTTTTAGATACACATCTGTTTCCAACAGTCTTGTGCTACCTATATTATTATTTTTTAAAAAAAGCTGACAGTAAAAAGTATGAGGAGATGCTTATACAGCTTCCTCTAGTGCATTTTATTCTTATCATTTATCATAATCTGCATGGCAAATATTAGTTTATTGGGATGATTAGATGCCTTTTTGGAGACTTACTTGGTTGAATGATTTGATGCCACTTTACAGCAAATCCATTTAGTTTCAGCTACAAGTGGGTGGTTGTTTACGTGACAATGATGAGCAACTCTGAATGTGGGCCTATCGTGCTTTGTCAGAAATATTTTAAAATTATGGTCATTTGCAGATTAATGGTCATATTAGTTGCAGTTTAGGAGTGGGATCAATAATGTAGTCAGAGAGTAGGAGTCTACGCAGTTTTTTATTGACAAATGAGGTAGAAAACTCTTAGTTTGAAGGTAAGATTTAATGTAATGAAATAATGTCCCTATTTGTCAACAGCATCATCACACATGCAATGACAGCATGTATTCATAAGATCGCTGTCAGACAAGACAGCAATTAGGAAAGTGAGTTATCTGAGTGATTCACATCAAAATATAAATTACAGCAGCTGACACAGCCTTAGCTATGTGTTGCATTTAGCACTGGGAAAGTTTAGCCCTTTATTGTCTCACCTGTAAGGTTCAAATATGCATTACTGCATTTTTGAGAATCATTCCCAGTATAAGTTTTTTGTTTGTTTTTTTATTTAGTGAACTTAGTACCTTTATAGTTTGTTACCAGCTGAGAAAGAAAACACGAAGGGAAATATATATTTGTGTACAGACCAGGAATATGAATATGAAACTGCCAGTTTTAGTGATGTAAAGGGCTGTAGTTTTATAGATTTAAAATTTAAGTGTAAAAGGTTCTGCCATGAGTTGAGTTCTTATTCTTAACTCATCCCATCTCTAGTGCAGGTATTAACACACTTTGGACCAGGCAGCACAGGCACCTTGCTCCCATTTAGAGTGGTCCCACTCTTGCTCAGAGACCCTAATGAATTGCACCATCCGGCTCCCCATAACTCACACATCTATCCATGTTCTGAATAAGGCATGGCCCCCAAGGGTGAGGCAGGCACTAAAGGGATTCTACTTCCTGTCCTCCTTAAAAGTTGTGGAGCACTCTTTTCATGTGCTATATTAGGGGTACCCAACATGGTGCCCTCCAGATGTCATGGACTACAATTATAGTCATTACTGAGCATTGACCATGCTGACTGGGGCTGGTGGGAACTGTAACCCAAAAGAATTGGAGCGCACCACGGTGGCTGCATCCTGCTCTAAAGGATGCCTTAGGCTTCTCACCAGCTTCCCATCTCTTTTTACCTTTAATCACACTGACCTTGTCAATTGTAACATATTTAACCAAATACATGAAGAAATTAATCAGATTTACTGATAAATCAAGCTGCCTCCCATGGTAGTACAGAATAGGTTCCCCTGGAATAGGCTTTTGTGTCATGGGTCAGGAGTCAGCTTCAGCTGCTGAATAGCAACCTGAAGGGGGAGAAGGGGGAGTGACTCCACCTGCAACTGATCAGCCTTCAAGGACACAGAGGAGTAGGCACTGATGAGAACCAGCTGGCTTCAGCCTTCTTAAACAGAGCTCTCAGCAGCAGACAGATTCTGGAAACAACACCTGTGGTTCCCTACTTTGTACTTCCTGCTCTCTGTCTGGGCCCTTGGTTTGTGATCATTGGATTTCCTGACCTCTGGATTGTCTGACCACATGGTTTGCTGTTTGCAGAACCCTTGGAATTGATTTGACTTTGTATGCTGATTCTGCCAGGTGTATCTTGGAGACTCTTCTCTTTGTTTGACCTCATGCTCCACCAAGCTCTACACACTATTGCTTGGCAGCAGGATGACAACACTTTTGCCCCCAAGAAATCAGTTTTTAGGCTGGTTTCCAAGACTACACTAAGCAGGGGACTACTGCTGCAGGAAAAAGCAGTCTTTGTGTGCCGGGGGTATTTGTCCTTCAGAAGCAATTTTTGTGTGTCCAGTTCTTCTAAGGAGAGGGCCAGCACAATAACCTTTATCTGGGCCAGATTATAACCCACACCAGAGAAGAATCTGAGGAGTTCCAAGGGTCATAATCTGAGATGGTAATTAGTGAGTTAGCCTCTCTGTTCGTCGACTACACTTAATACAAGCTGATATGGTGGATGGTGAAAGGAGGATCATTGAGAGCCTTGACTGAAGACATTGCAGGTGGCTTTGTCTATAAATTATTTGAAAGCTAAATTATCCTGCTATGAGCCACCTTCAGAGGGTTGTGCCCTGAAAGTTCTCTAGATAGTCAGCCAGACAGGCAGGTGCTAGAAGAGACTTGCTTTCTTAGCTTACAATGTTTCAGAACAGAAAAAGCCTGCAAGGAGGAACAAATGAATGCCATGATGAGAAAGGTAAGTATCCAAGTGTATCAATACCATATAGTGCCATTTGATATCTGTAGTGCAAGAAATTCACTAAGAAAAAGACTATAATGGGATTTTTTAAAAAACCATTCATTGGGTCCAGCTCAGCTGTGATCATCTTCATCTTAAAAATGAGCTATGGTCTTTCTGAAAATCAAGAGCGAACATCTCTTTCCCTTTCCTTCTCCTTTATCTAGGACACAGTATGGCCCTTATACTATCTGGTTCATGTTTTACTTCCACTGTGCTTCAGCATTGGGCACAAGAACTTATGTCAGTAGAGTGCCTTCCGAAATGTTTTATCCAATATTGGATCTGTCTTTTGCCTGTTGCCTTTAGCAAAATAAAAGCAAAATATAAAATAAACAAAGTTTATTCTGCATTACCTTTACAGCCCTTCATAAAGGATCTGTACAGTGTTGACAGGGACTTGTTGCCACAGTGCAGCAGAGTCTTCAAACCATGATTCTTCCATTACGTATTTCATCTTGAGTGCTGATTTAAAGGAAGAGAGTGCAAGCAAATCTATGAATTTAGCATCTTAAAAGTTTAGTGTATGAGCATGTTGTTAATTAATTAAAAAGTGTAACTAATCCCAAACTGCAATTCACTCAAGGCCAAGAGGTACCAAAGAAAGTGATAGAAGGAAACACAATCTTAGGTGTTAATAAGGTGCTTTTAAAATAAGAGAATATGTTTATCGGTGAAAGTCACCAAAAGAAACCAATTAATATTCTGGATGATAAGCATCTTATATGGCATCCTTCTGTGGGTAGGGTTAGTCAAAACTGTAGCATTCACATTCTGTTTCCACTAAGATAAAGTTTTCAGATCT